GAAGTGGACTATTATGGACTTAGTTAGTTTTGCCTAAGTCGTGCGGCACCTGTACGTGTCCGTCCGCAAAGGTCAGCCTCCCCGAAACCTCCTATGGTCCCTTAGGACATACAAAAGAGAAAACGGGTTAGAGAAAGCGCCTTACTCGAGATTCACAAGCAATCATTTTAGGAAACACTTCATAACCAATGTAAATTATAAACATACTTCATAAACTCTGAACGGTCGCACAATAAAGGATCCAAAATGGTCCACTATAGATCAAAATCTCCCACAAGTGTCCACATGACACAACCTTTATTTACAAGCAAAAAATGGCCACCAAACCTAACTAAATTGGGGCTGTTAAGCCTTCAACTGTCCCTCTATATGTTGTGTAAAGCATAAACAAACCAAAAGACACGGACATATATGAGCATTATATTAAACATCATGTTTACAGTTTTATCCGTGATAGGACGTAGGTCATAACGGCTGAACCATTATAAATCCAGTGTGTTCTTTCCTTATTACTTTCTTTCATTACTTATCTGCACTCTACGCTTTACATTTACCCTAAGTCATTACTTTCATTACTTTCTGATATGGGCTTTGACGAAACGATTTTGTCGAACGAAACTTTCCAAATCAACGTAATTTTTATCGCTGCATTAATTCACCCCCCCTCTTAGTGATGTATTGATCCTAATAATTGGTATTAGAGCAGGTCACTCTCATTTTGGTTTGAAACCCAAAAGAGATGGCGTTTGACGGCAACCAAGAGGGTCACTCAATCACACGTCCACCCATATTCAATGAGACGAATTACACCTATTGGAAAAATAGAATGAGGATTTTTCTAATTTTTATGGATTTTGAGTTATGGAACATTGTGGAAAACGATTTTCAAAAGTCTTCTCTTCCAATGAACGATTGGAATGAGATGGAGAAGAAGACTTTCTCTTTAAATGCCAAGGCTATGAATGTTTTGTTTTATGACTTAGATAAAAATAAGTTTAATTGAGTATCTATTTGTGAAATGACGTTCGATATTTGGCATATACTCGAAATCACGCACGAAGGTACTAGTAGAGTAAATAAGTCCAAAATAAATCTTTTAGTCCATACTTATGAATTGTTTCGGATGAAACCAAGTGAGACCATTGGAGACATATACACCTGGTTTATGGATGTCATCAATGGTCTAAAAGCGCTTGGTAAAAATTTTTCTAACTTTGAACTCGTTAATAAAATATTAAAATCTCTTCCAAAGAGTTGGGACCCTAAAGTTACGGCCATTCAAGATGACAAGGATTTGAATAATTTCCCTCTCGAAGAACTTATCGGGTTGTTAATGTCCTATGAGATGACTTGCAATGCTCATAAAGAGCTTGAGAATAACCTTCCAAAGAATAGGAAGGATATGATACTAAGAACTTATGAAGACCACTTGATAGGAAGTTCAAATGATGAGGACTATGATGATGACTTGGGACTCTTGACAAGAAAGTTCAAAAAATTCATAAAAAAAAATAAATTTTAAAATAATACTAAAAATAAAATTGAACCCAAGAAAGAATAACTTATATGCTACGAATATAAAAAGCCGGGACATTTCAAAAATGAATATCCCCAAGTGAAGAAGAAACAACCAAAGAAGAAGAAAGCGCTCAAAGCAACATGGGATGATTCGAGCTATTCTGAAGATGAAGAACAAAGCAACAAGAAAATCACCAACAACGCACCAATAGCTATCAAAGATTAGGTAAGTGGTTCTTTAGATACAAATTTATCTTTCAATGAGTTTTTAAGTGCCTTTTATGATTTGTTCGATGAATGTAGAATAATGCGCAACAAGTATAACTATGCACTAAGTATAGGGCTTTTCAATATTACGATACACTTCTTGATGATGGTATAATACATGCAAAACTCTAAGAATTAAGCATGTTAAATCTTTCAGATGCATGAGTTTCTCTTTTATACTTCTCGGATTTCTTGATTTTTTGTAACTAAAATTTTCTTTTTAAATTGAGATCGTTTCCTATGAATTCTTTATCATTCTATTTACAAGAAAAGAGATTTGATTTATGAAGTTTGATTCATGGATTTTTGATCTTTCATTTGATGATCCTTTCCCATGAATTCTTCCTCACTCTTCTCACGAAAGAAGAATTTTTATTCAGGGACTTTTAGTATGTGATGATCATTTGCAAGAATAAGGATTTAATTTTGTATGGACATCTTGATTCTTTTAATGAATCCTTTCTCTTTGCTAAAATAGAAGCTTGATTTAATGAATCTCATTTATTATGGATTTGACTTGGTTCAAATCCTTTCATGAATTTGGTTCTTGATTTCTTATGGAGAATAAATTCCTCCCTTACTCTTCTTCCTCTTCTTCTTATTTTTATGACAAAGGAAGAAAGAAGCTTACATATCTTAAGAAGAACCAAAAAATTTCTAAGCAAAAATGCTAGCTTCTCACTTTTTATACAAAGATTTTACTAAACTTCTCATGTTTGCTAGCATGGATAAATTGGTGTAGAACCTACTTGAATATTTCAAAAAAAAAAAAACTTGCATTGTTGAATGGTTCTCCTTTTTTTTTATGACAAAAGGGGAGAAATGTAGCAAATTAATAACAACTTGACATTATGAATGCTTGAAATAATGTGTAAAATGTATCATATCATAAATGCTTGAATGTATTACGAATACTTGAAATATGATTGGTATCATCTAATATATAGTAAATACCTAAAAAATATCAAAATGTATCGCATATGCATCATATGTATCATAAATGCTTAAAACACATCGTAATATGGCATGGATACTTGAAAATGTTTCATTCTTAAAACCATGCTTGATTTCGTATCATAATGATAAATGTGGCAAATTGATGACAACTTGGCATTATAAATGTTTGAAATAATGTGTAAAATGTATCGTATCATAAATGCTTGAATGTATTGTGAATACTTATTGAAATATGATTGGTATCGTCTAATACATCGTAAATACATGAAAAATATCAAAATGTATCACATATGCATCGTATGTATTCAAAGACCTTGAATTCAAGAATGACTTTTCTCAAGTATGACATATAGATAGGGAGAGTTAAGGTTAACTCCGTCATCAATTGATTGTCATCATTAAAAAGGGGAAGATTGTTGAATTTTGAATTTTGATGATGAAATCAATTGGTAAATTATTTGATCCAATCTATATATTGAGAAAAGTATACAGGATTAACTACTATAGCGATCAAGGCATAAAGCAAAACGAAGTACCGAAGTCAAGATCGAGAATTCTTTGGGAGTTCGAGAGTTCATCGGGAGTCCGGAGGTTCGTTGGAAGTGCCGCCAGAATTTGCCGAGAAGTAGCTCATCGGAACTCGCTAAGAAGATCACCATGAAGTCCAAGAGCTTGTTGGGAGTCCGCTAGAAGATTGCCGAAAGATCGTCGGAAGTCCGCCAGAAGATCGTTGGAAGCTCACTGGAAGAAACCTAGACATATCAGACTTGTTTTGTTTAGTGTATGCCTTAAATGAAGTTAGCACATAATTAGTGTTAGGTTTGGGAGGTAATCCCATTAAACCTATTACGAGCCAACTGGGCCCGTAATTGGACTGATTTGGGCTGGATTCAAAGTCCAAAAAGGTTGCTAAACCTTGTTTGACGCTGGCACCACCATACTAGGGCGGTGGAACCGCCCAGGGCTCAATCACCTAGAAGCCTGGGTAGTGGTACCATCGATAATTATTGCTACCAAGTGGTGGTACCGCCCTGTTAGGCGGTGGTACCATCCTGTTAAGCGATGGTACCACTAGAGCCCAGTATTCGAGACTCTGTTAGGTGGTAGTACTGCCAGACCGGGAAGTGGTACCACCCAATGTCAAAGTGTCAAGCAGTGGTACCGCTAGTACCCCGAAAACCCGGGATGAGACACTTTTAGGCTCCAATTTTGAAGCCATTAGGGCCTATAAATATCCCATTCCTTTCTGCATGAAAGTATATCAAACTGTGAATAAAATCTTAAAGTGTTGAGGTGTGAAAGATTTACAAAAGTGATGTGTCCTCCTCCTCCCTCTCTATGTTTTATGATCATTGAAGTGAGGTGTGAGATTTATAAGGGTTCTTTCCTAAACCCATGAAAAGGAGAAAGTATTGTAAGAGGGTGGTTAGTCTTCATCCATTGAAGGAAGACCATTAGTGGACGCCGGTGACCTCGACGGAGGAGAAATCGGAAGTGGACGTCAGTCACAATGACCGAACCACTATAAATCCAATGTGTTCTTTCCTTACTACTTTCTTTCATTACTTATCTACACTCTAGGCTTTACATTTATCCTAAGTTATTACTTTCAACTTTCATTACTTTTCGATACGAGCTTTGACGAAACAATTTTATCAAACGAAACTTTCCAATCAACATAATTTTTATCACTGCACTAATCCCCTCCCCCCTCTTAGTGACGTATTAATCCTAACAAGCTTAGGGTGGTATTTTATATTTTCCCTATTGATTAGATTTTTTTTGAAATTACAAGAACATTTGCATAAATATGTTTAGCCTCAGGTCTAGTGTCAGTGCTGGCAAGACTGTTTTAACTATCATGGTCATCATGACAATAATTTTCAAGAAAAGTTACTCTTTGAAAGTCTAGTTCTACTTTTTCGGTTGTCTATCATGTCCTACCGAATCTTTAAGAAAATATGTACATGCCAAATTCTCATGAAGAATTTGTTCACTTTTGTTTGTATTTTGCAATATGGAAAATTAGTTCCACGTCCAACCCAATAGGTATTATGTTTAATCATATATACCCTAACATGTATCAAGAAGCAAATATACACAAATCTAAATCTTTAAGGTTACACGTAAAATCTAGAGGGACAAATATGGTATTATAAAGGTTTGGCAAGTATATATACAAAAATTTGAAGATAAGCAAGCAAAATACAAAGTAACAAGGCTTCTTATGAATCAACAAACACAGTAGAAAGACATACCCTAGGTGTTAACAATGGTTTTGCTGTCGTTAATGACGAGAACAATAACTGCTCCAGGGTCTGAATAAGGGTGCATCTGCACCGTAAAAGATGCAAAGCATTTATTAAATACGCATATTAACGAATAACATCAAAACATATGAAAGGTGACTATCGTCATAAACACGTATCACAAATGCTATGTGATATACAAGACATACAAGAATAAATATGTGTACACATATCACAAATCCTATTGTGATATACAAAAACTAATAAATATGTATATTAATGCATATCATGAATATTTCTACAAAGAGTTCATTCTGATTATCCTCATAACATTGATGTGAAAAAGCATATGAAAAGTTGCCAAGTAACCTACTAGATAACATTTTTAATTCAAAAGGAAAAAAGATTGACTTGATCCATCCCTAGAAGGTCAGGGTCGAGTATGAGCCACTATTAGAAAACAGGGTACGACTTATGCAATAACATGGGGTTAGCTATAACGCTTTCTTTTTCTCAAAAACTGCTAGTCCAATATTGACTCATTCTATTCCCAGTCTTTGGTACATTAAATCTAAGTTTGTACACATGATAAACAAAGTTCACGTACAGTTCATTGATACATCTTCTTCGGTCTTCTGGAAGAGAGTTTTCGAGTTCAAACTGAAGAGACAGCAAGTCAGACTGCAATCCTGATATCTGCTGAACTATACCATGTGCTGATACATATGTCGGTAATGCTGATTGAGAATCTAAAAGAAAAGCATATCAGTGTAACTCAAGGTTGTATTGAGTCATTATGAATATCAAGGATTACTCGAATGGATGCTTAGAAGATCCCGGACACTATGCAGAAATGTTT